CCCCTACATTGAGCTTTAGGGATTATGGAGGGTCGAGTTTCCCTTTAATGAATGATTTTGGAAAGAGATTTTTGAGGAGTTTGTACACACACACCCAGCGGTGTATTCTGGTTTTGTGCTGCCCTAAGCATGACAAAACTCGGCACACCCTACCCCCTTCCAAATTTCTCTTCCTGACAGACACACGCCCTCACTGATGCATACACTGACATACATTCACTGACAGATACACTGTCATTGCATTGTCACACACACTGTTTAACAAACACACACTTTCATTTACACATTCACAAACATACTCACTCATTCACAGTTACACTCACTCACAGTTACATACACACTCACATTCACCGACAGACACACATACACACTGGCAGACACGCATTTACTGAGACACATACACATATGCACAGCACACTCACTGACAGACACACACACTGACAGATACACACTTACTGACAGACACACGTCCACTCAGTGTCAGACACACACTGAGACACACATATACTCACTGACAGATACACACTGACAAACACACATAGACACTCACTGAGAGACATATGTACACTCAGTGTCAGACACAAACATTTACTGACAGACACACTCACTAACAGAAACACACACACTAACAGACACATACACACACTCCCTAACAGACACACAAACTAACACACACACACTCACTAACAGACACACACACTCACTAACAGAAACACTAACAGACACACACACACTAACACACACTAACACACACACACACTAACCCACTTAAAAAAAATTGTACATTTCAATCCACCCAGCCTCCCTTCTTTTGGGAGTGCTGGAGTGGATTCTTCCCTGGGGTCCAGTGGGTCTGCTGCTGGCTGGGCTGGCAGGCACAGGCGGACGGGTTGGCAGGTTCATATTGGAGGCGGCGAGGGAACTCTGATCTTCCTGCTCAGCTCCCTCGCGTGCCTCTCAGTGATGCTGGGGCCGGAGTGATGTCATATTCTGGCTCCGGCATCAGTGGGGTGCGCGCGAGGGAGCTGAGCAGGGGAGAGCTCAGGGGAGAATGCTCCCTCGCCGCCCGCCTCCTACATCAGTGCATGCCAGCCTCTGGGGGGGCCTGAAGTGGTCAGCTTGTAGGCCGCCCAGACTGGCAAGGCATTTGCAAGGGCGTTTGGGAGAGGCTTTTATTTCCGCCCCACTGAAAGTGCCGCCCAAGGCAAATGCCTTGTCAGCTTTGCAGTAGATACACCACTGCACATACCATTACCTACATATGAAACCCGAGAATGAAGAATTCAAATATAACTAACCAAGTGCAAGGAAGTAAGTTTCCAATGTTAGAAGTGTAGTAGCAATAAAATGAATTACTTTAACAATGAAACTGTTAAACACCACACTGCTATAGTGTGATCGAGAGAGGCATTATCACATTGAATTGGTAAAAACTGTTTATTCATTATCCACTAGCCAAAATAAAACGCTCTTTTTAGCTATCAGGTTCACATAAAAGGCAATATGTTTCTAGCTTGATGGGACGTTATCAACTGGCTCAGAAATTCCACTCACTCTCCTGTCCGTATTCCATTTATTTATCAATTAATCCTGTAAGAGCAGTGCAGGCTTCTCCAGATATATAATTAAGTGGACGTGAAATGTCCCAAGATCAGTTATGTCAATCTGCTATTGAAAAACTGCATTTGTTCCCAGAAAATTATTGTTTATCAATCTGCTTCCTAAAAAACAAACAAAAAAAACAGGACACTATAGTCACCAGAACAACTACAGCTAAATGTAGTTGTTATGGTGTCTATAGCCTGTCCCTGCAGGCATTTTAATGTAAACACTGCATTTTCAGAGAAAGGGTAGTGTTTACATAACTGCCTAGGAACACCTCTAGAGGCAGTCACTCAGACGGCTACTGGGTCAGTGCCGCACAATGCACTCTGCACGGAGATGCTGAATGATCCCCTTAGAGATGCATTGATTCAGTGCATGTCTATGAGGAGATGCTGACTGGTGCAGCACTGGATTGGCTGAGATCATCAAGTTGGATGATCTCAGCCAAGGGGTGGAGCTAGCTGCGAGGAGACCCGTGCGGTGCTGGAGAAAGGCGAGTAAATCACCTTTTCAACATATGACAAGGGGGAGAGGGCAGTCACCTAAACGGCTATATACAAGTTTGTATTCCTGACAGTATAGTGTTCCTTTAATCAAGAAACCATGTAAATATATAACCCAATATTACAATAACCCATTAACTTTCTTCAGTGCTGACATTTAAATGTTATTCTATATAATGGATAGGAAATCTTGAGCACTCCAAATGTTGTGGACTACATCTCCCATAAGGCTTTTACAGCATATGGGGAGATGCAGTTCACAACATCTGGAGTGCCAAGGATTATCTACCCTGTTCTATATACAAGGAATATTAATATTAATTTTCTATATGCAGGGCCAGGGTCCAATAAATAATAAAGACGGCCCTGTTTAAAGGTACAGGTCAACATATTTAATTGCATTATTGAGTTTGACTGAATGAAGACTTGCAAGTGACTGGAAAATGATTCCAGAAGCAAAAATGGAGCCCTGACAATTTTCACAGTCATCTGCATACAATCTACTTTCAGTAGAGTCCTGGGAAACTCCAGGATTGTTCATGGCAGAAAAATCTGTTTCCGCAGAACCACTTCATCCCAGATTAGGAACATTTTCGGAACAGGTTAAGTTTGTCTATGTGGTGGTTTGGCTCATCACAAGATTTAGGAAAACCAATCAAATTAAAGGGATCCTATAGTGCCAGGAAAGCAAACCCGTTTTCCTGGCACTTCCCTACTCGCGATCCCCCTCCCGCGGGGCTGAAGGGGTTAAACCCCTTCAGTCACTTACCTGAATCCAGCACCACTGTCCCTCGGCGCTGGGTCAGGTTCCGCCCATGCTCCTCCCCCGTCAACGTCAGTCTACTGCGGAAAACTTGGAAACGTTATAAGGTAATTTCCAAACTTTTTAAGGTCCATCATGAGAATGTTTTATTCAAAAGTGGAAAACATTCAAGACAGATGCCAATCTTCCCAGGAGTGGACGTCCCAGCAAATTCACCTCGAGGTTAAACCGTGCAATGCTCAGAGAAATTGAAAAAAAAAAACAAGTTACATCTCAGAGTCTACAGGCCACAGTTAAATTTTAAAGTTCATGACATGCAATTAGAAAAAGACTGAACAAGTATTGTTTGCCAAGAGAAATTTCCAGCTGTCTGAGTCAACAGAGTTATGTTTTGTTAGGGGTTAACCAAACTATTATAGTTTATAGGCAGTGGCATCTCCAGGATTCATAGTTAGGGGGGGCAGTTAAGGGGCCAGGGACAAAAGAAGGGCGGCAGTTATAAAACGTGTGTGTGTATATATATATATAAATATTATACAACTTCCACCTAATCACCTGTGGAAATGAAATTTAACTTAGCTTTTGAATACTTGCTTCCCTCAAGTTACCTCCCAAGTTAGTAACTATATACTATATAACTATATATAAATATTACAGAATACAGACCAGGGATCCAGCTTGTATCACTAAAATATAAACATAAAATCCAACATAGTGTAATATAGTTATAACATTAACAAACTCGCTTTACGCTTCAAGGTTGCACTCACAAATTGATGGTATGTATAAAGCCTTCAGGGTGCCTCCCCTATGGTCAGGGGGGTTTATCCTGTTGTTGGTATCACACCAATTCCGAAGTCAGGAAGTCCACACACTCCCAATGGTTGGATATAAAAAGAAATTTATTGGCTTAAAAATAACTAATAAAACAAAAAGGTCCTACGCGTTTCGTTCCTCTTGGGAAACTTCTTCAGGGACCAGCAAATTAAAATATATGCAATCAAATACACTGCCAACAAATCTGAACAAGTGTATAAATGAGCCTATTAACCCCCTCCATCTCCCTCCCTTAAATATGGTGGTGGTGTGGTGGGTGTTATTCCATCTTCTTATTTGATTGAGCTCCCTACCCGTCGGCAATTACCTCCAAAAATTCTTTCAGCTTTCTACGTAGTGGCTCCTTTTCTTTGCGGCTAAAGTTTTGTTCCGGTGTTTACTTTCGGTATGACGCACTTCCGTGCGTTCCACTCGATCTCCAGTAGCAATGGCCGTGCGTTCCATCTAATCTCGGCGTAAAAGTTCTTTTCATTGCCTTCTGGTGGTCGCCAGAGGTACTGCCATGGTTTTAGAATAATATTTTTCCATTTTATCAGAATCAATAGACATATAACAATACAAAAAAGTATTCGATTAATATGATAAAGACAAGGATTTGATACAAAATCTTCTTATTTATACAAGATAAATCGAATATAAACAAAGACTAAACCAGGACAAAAGAGATAAGCCACCAGTTATGCAGAGCAGAAGGAATTTCCTAATAATATATCAAAGCCTAGTAGATACAGAACTTATTACCATATAACAGTACATAAAGGGACCCAGTTGAAACCATAATTATTGTTATACATTTTTATATGTTTGGAAGCAAGTGACCCAGATTGGGGAGAAAAAAACAAAAAACAAAAAACAACACTGAACCAAAAGTATATTACAATTAAATATTGGAGAGTTTTTGAAGCCAGTTAGAGTACCATACACTTTTTTTTTTAAAAAAAAACAATAGTATTGGTTATAATATCTTTTTCCATTGTTAATTGAAATGTAATCTGGTCAATCAAACAGGATTTCTGGAATAAATTAGAAGTCTTCCATTGTCTATCAATAATGATTTTAACTGCAACAAAGCAGTGAGTGGCGAAACAAATATATTCATGCGACTTTAATTGCCAATTCAAGTGTAAAAGGGGCAGTGGCCAGGTTTTTATTGAGTTTAATAAGTGTAACTATATAAAAGATATTAAATGCCCATACCCAAAGCGCATTAACTAGTGGGCAGTCCCACTATGAGGTTTTAGCATAATATTGCAGTCCATGTTAATGTATCATACAGAAAAAGAGACACAGTGATTGGTTTTATATTTTTCAATTGAACTGCACATATAACTTTTGTTCCCATTTTATTCACCAGTTACGTCCATAAAAAGAGTTGTCACCATCAACCCTGGTTAAGGGGAATTGCCAAGGGGCAGCTTACAAGAGTGAGACGTAACTGATTTGCCACTCGCTGCTTTGTTGTCACCATCAACCCTGGTTAAGGGGGATTGCCAAGGGGCAGCTTACAGCTTACCGGGGCCGCAGCACCTGAGGGCTAAGCAAGTAGGTGCCACCGGGTGGGCAGTCCGCTGGCACACTCTGAGGGGGCCGGCCGCGTTCCACACTGGAGCCGCCGGGCCGGGTGACAGCCTAGCCGGTCCGGCGGTACTCCTGTCCTGTCACTAAAGCTGAGGACGGAAGGAGGGAGCAGCATGTCTCTCTCTCATGCTCCCTTGCGGTTCCCACAATTCCCAGCACAGGATGCACAGTATGCTGTGCTGGGAATTGTGGGAACCGCAAAGGTGCATGAAAGAGAGACATGCTCCTCCCTCCTTCCATCCTCAGCTTTAGTGACAGGACAGGAGTGCCGCCGGTCCGGTGAGGCTGCCACACGGCCCGGCGGCTCCAGCGTGGAACGCGGGGCCAGATCTCATGGAACTATTTTCGGCTACTTTACCCATGCGGTCGGTCAAATCTTTGCTGCCTCCTAACTCCCGAACCCCTGGTCTGATCTGGGTGATTTTTGGATATGTTCCTCACCCAGATCAGGTGTACCTACCATATTTGGGGTACATCCAGGAATTGGGGAAAAATATGTACTTTATAATTATGTTAACTGTTAAGCTAAGGGGAGGAGATGTGTGGGAGGTAACGTCTATGTGATTGGTTACTGTAGTAATTATGGTGAGTCCCTCCCTTGCATGGGAGAATCTCATAAAAGCAGGAATTGTGTCATTAAACTTCAGTTCTACTCCTGATACTGTTTGTCGTCCAGTGATTGGTAAAGGTGATGGGATACTATTGGATTTTATTGCTGATTGTGCTGGTTACCCTCTTGAATTTACTACTTGTTCCTGCATTCTTTTAATATACCAGTGGAGTTAAGCTGTGGGAAATCAGCTCTCCGCTACACACACACACACTGGCCCCACACACAGCATACACATTTACACACATTGCCTCATACACACACATACACTGCCCACCCATACACACACAGACCGCCATACTAACATTGCCACACACATACACAGCCCCCTCATACACACATTGCCCAACACACCCTACACATTCACACACTACACCACCCACACACACACTGAACCTTTCACAAACACTGCACCCCTCACACATTGCACCACTGCTCCTATACCCTACTACAGCCCCATATCTCAGCAGACCCCAGGTAAGTTGTCAAACAGTTTTTAAACGGTTTCACTACTTACTCTGGGAGGGGGTCCTGGCCCTCCTGGCACCATAACCACTACACAGAGCAGTAGGGGTTATTGTGCATGGATTATTTCTTTAAATAATCTACAAGTGCTCCAGTAGCCAGCAAGCCAGCCAGCCCACAGGCCGGCCGGCCAGCCAGCCCACAGTCCACCAGTTAGCCAGACCACAGGCCAGCCAGGCCAGCAGCCAGCAACAGGCCAGTAGCCAGCCCACAGGCCTACAGCAAGCCACAGGCTTACAGCCAGCCGCAGCCAGCAAGCCCACAGGCTGCCGGCAGTAGCCAGCAAGCACACAGCCTGCCAGCCGCAGCCAGCAAACCCACAGCCTTCCAGCAAGCCCACAGACTGCCAGCCAGCAACAGTAATTAAGGTAAGAGGAACCAACTTGGCCTAGATATCAGCGAGCTATGTTGTGTTGCTATATTGTGAATAGGAACCAGAGTGTTGGAGAGACCCCCCTCCAGGCCCCATTAGACTCCATTGTAGTCTCTACTGGGGCCTGGAGGTGACTGTTTCCAGCAGAGGCTATCTAATGGATGCTGAGATGGCCTCTGTTAGGAAGACTCCATTGTAGTCTCTAATGGGGCCTGGAGGGGATTCTTTCTTACACACTCTATAAAGGACACCGAGATAGCCTCTGCTGAAAGACCCCCCTCCATGGCCCATTAGCCCTCAATTGTAGTCTCTACTGGGACCTCAAAGGGATTATTTCACTTTTGTACCCACAGACTGACCCCCCACACACACAGACACACACACACTCTGCCCCCATACACAGACTGACCCCCTCCACACCCATACACACACACACTCTGCCCCCCCACACACAGACTGACCCCCCACACCCATACACACACACACTCTGCCCCCACACACAGACTGACCCATACAAACCTACAGACTGCCCGCCCACAGACTGACCCATACACACAGACTGACCCACACCCAACACAGATTGGCCCACACACAGACTGACCCCCTCCACACACCCATACACACACAGACTGACCCACATACCTACACAGACTGACCCTCCACACGGGACCCCCCACACCCATACACACACAGACTGACCCCCACACCTGACACCCACACACCAGACGGCCCCACACACACACAGACAGACCCCCACACCATACACACACTGACACACACAGACTGACCCCCCCACACCCATAGACTGATTCCTCCTTCCCCGCACCTGCCCCACACATTAACATGCCTGGATGCCTGTGTGCAGAGCTGGGATTCCTCACCCTGCGCTGCTCTCTATGACCCAAAAGGAAGTCCTCCCAGCACAGCGCCCCCTCTGGCAGCATGTGGGAAAAGTCCACCAGTAACAGTGCTGCTGCAGCTTGTGAAGGGAGACGCAGTGCTCCCGACTTCAATTTAAATTGGGGGGCACAGCATGATGCCCCCCCCCCCCCAGTGATGCCACTGTTTATAGGAGTCTGCTAAAAAAAAAATTATCAGTATATGTATATGTAACGGATCACCTGGCACCCCGACTGGGTACCTCCGTTGAAGAATGCTCCTAGCTCTTCCTGAGGACTCCAAGCACTGCAGCAGACACCACAACCACTGAACCGGAGAAGCATATAAATGCTCTCAAGCATATGAATGCTGTAAGCAGCTGAACAGGAAAAGCATACAATCAGCTTACACTCCTGGCAATCAGCATACAATCCAATTCCATTACTAACGAGACGACACTTCGTTTTGAGGTCAAGCAGAACTGCCTGTACTGGCACATACAGCCTCTTTTATTCACAATCCACAAACATAGTACTGCCCACAGGGTTTTGAAATACAACCAATCAATCCACACAATACACACAGACACTCCCACACAAAATCCTCCCCTCTGCCTGTGATATGATTACTGAACACAATGGTTAATATAATTATCATAGGCAGAGAAATACAGTATTATAAAACATATCACAGGTACCCCAAAACATGCAATACCCCCATAAAAATATAAAATAAATATAAAAGTAAATATAAATATAAAGTATATCCTCGGAACAGGGGGATCTGGGTGAACCACATATCCAAAATTCACCCAGATCCGATCAGTACTTTGGAAGATCCAGTTTAATGCAGATTCCGCAGAACATATACAAGCTATATGAAAAATAATTACTGTATAATGTGTCCCCTGTTGTATAGTTTAAAACTACTGAACGATGTCTTTGTGCACCAAATACCGGCGAGATGGCACCGTGTAGAAAAGTCCAAACAGTGTCTGTGAGTTAAAATGGCCGCCATCCATTGTTCTCACCATGTGCTTCATCCATTGTTCTCACCATGTGCCTCTGATACAGGAAATGGTGGCCACCCAGTAACTCTACAGTATGTCCCCAGATGGTTCTTAAAGGGCCAGCAGCAGCCCAACACAAATCCCTTATGCCCAAATCATGTCTTTAAAGGGCAATACATCCCAGGGGCCATAGTCACAGGGCAGGAGGCTGGCAATCAGTTTTCTCCAATGCCCAGTGGCGAGGTCGGTTTCGCCACAGTATATTAATGTAATATCGATATACTGATCAGCCACAACATTAAAACCACTGACCGGTGAAGTGAAAAACACAGATAATATCGTTACAATGGCACCTGTCAAGGGGTGGGAGATATTAGGCAGCAAGTGATCAGTCAGTTCTTGAATTTCATAAGTTGAAAGCATGAAAAATGGGCAAGCGAAAAGATCTGAGTGACTCTGACAAAGACCAAATAGTGATGGCTGCATGACTAGCTAGGTCAGAGCATATCCATAATGGCACGTCTTGTGGGGTGTTCCCAGTATGCAAGGGTCAGGGCCGATCCTGGGCAGGTGCACGGGGTGCACCGCGCCAGGCGCCAGGAGGTGGGGGGCTCCACGCGGAGCAGGCCAATGGCACTTTTTTAGCAATGCAGAATAGGCACCTGCTTATCCCAGACGGCAGGTGCCTACTCTGCAGCAATATAACGGACTGGAGTGGAGAAGAATCCAGGCGGCGAGGGAGCGCTGTCTGTGCTTATGTTAGTCCTGCTCCTCTCTGCTCCTCGCACGCCCTCTGTGGTGATGCCTTGAACCTGAATATGACATCATTCCAGCCCCGCATCACTAAACAGTGCAAAGGAGCAGAGAGAAGCAGGAAGATCATGAAAGCCACTGGATCCCAAGGAGAGGACCAAGAGGACTTCTAAAGGTAGGAGCAACTCAATTCATTTGTGAGTGTGTGTTCAAGACTGTGTAAGTGTGTGTGTGTGTCTGAAAGTAAGTGTGTGTCAGTGAGTGAGTGCATGTGTGTGTCAGTATGTCTGCCAGTGTATGTCGTATGTGTGTGTGTGTCAATATGTCTGTCAGTGTATGTGTCTGTGTGTGTTTCAGAATTTCTGTTAGCATATGTCTGTGTGTGTGTCAGTATATCTGTCAGTGCATGTATCTTTGTGTGTCAGTATGTCTGTGTGTGTGTGTGTGTGTGTGTGTATGTCAGTATGTCTGAATGTGTGTCAATATGTCTGCCAGTATATATTTGTGTGTCAGTGTGTGTGTCAGTATGTCTGTGTATGTCAGTATGTATCTGCGAATGTGTCAGTATGTCTGTTAGTGTATATGGCTGTGTAAGTATGTTTTGAATCTATCTACTTTAGTTCCCCCACAGCATTGGGGTGAAAAGTGTGATTGGGGGTTAGGTGAAATTGGGGGCCGTGAGAAAATGCTTTGCCCAGGTTCCTATTCATATTATAGACGGCACTGGCCATGTGTATATATAATTTTAATAATACCAATTAATATATTTTATTATAATATTAATAAATGTATATGTTCCTGTAATAATATCAATACATGTATTTTATTATTATAATAATAAGATGCATATTAATATTATTATTATATCAATAGTTGTATATGTTCCTGTAATAATATCAATGTATATATATATAATTATTATAATGTCAATGTATATGTAATAATATCAATGTATTTATAATTATAATAATATTAATGTATATATAATTATTATAATATCAATGTATTTATAATTATTATAATATCAATGTATATATGATAATATCAATGTATATATAATTATTATAATATCAATGTATTTATAATTATTATAATATCAATGTATATATATAATAATAATATCCATGTATGTATAATAATAATAATATAAATGTATATATAATAATATCAATGTATATATAATTATAATAATATCCATGTATATATAATAATAATATCAATGTATATATAATATCAATGTATTCATAATTATAATAATATCCATGTATATATAATAATAATATCAATGTATATATCATAATATTAATGTATATATGATTATAATAATATCAATGTATATATAATTATTATATCACTGTATATATATATAATTTTAATGATATCACTGTATATATATTATTATAATATCACTGTATATATAATAATAATATCACTGTATGTATAATTATTATAATAATATCACTGTATATATAATTATTATATCACTATATGTATAATTATTATATCAATGTATATATATATAATTATTATATCACTGTATGTATAATTATTATATCACTGTATGTATTATTATTATAATAATATCACTGTATATATATAATTATTATATCACTGCATATATATAATTATTATAATATCACTGTATATATAATAATGTCACTGTATATATATAATTATTATTATAATATCACTGTATATATATAATTATTATATCACTGTATGTATAATTATTATATCACTGTATGTATTATCATTATAATATCACTGTATATATATAATTATTATATCACTGCATATATATAATTATTATAATATCACTGTATATATAATAATGTCACTGTATATATATAATTATTATTATATCACTGTATATATAATATCACTGTATATATATAATTATTATAATATCACTGTATATAAAATAATATCACTGTATATATATATATATATATATATTATAATATCACTGTATATATAATTATTATAATAATAGCACTGTATATATAATATCACTGTATATATAATTATATCACTGTATATATATATAATTATTATAATATCACTGTATATATAATTATATCACTGTATATATACAATTATTATTATAATATCACTGTATATATAATTATTATATCATTGTATATATAATATCACTGTATATATATAATTATTATAATAATATCACTGTATATATAATTATATCACTGTATATATAATTATTATTATAATATCACTGTATATATAATTATTGTAATAATATCACTGTATATATAATATCACTGTATATATATAATTATTATTATATCACTGTATATCTATCACTGTATATATATATATAATTATTATAATATCACTGTATATATATAATTATTATTATAATATCACTGTATATATATATAATTATTATTATAATATCACTGAAGCGGAGCTGCAATATTAAATCCCAAGATCTCCGCTGGTATAGAAAGTAATCCAAAGTAAAGCGCTGGAAAAGAAGGCAATATGCCAAATCCCCCAGTAACTGGACGAAACACAGTTCTGGGAGTCAACTGACAATTTTATTCACAGCTCCAGTATTTATGTGATTCCCCATGCAAGGGGTTTCCTTAGTCACTTTACAGGGGTATTACAGTCGAGGACTACATGGGGAACTGAATATACCGAGCATTTCTCCCACCATGCACTGCTGTACATTAGGGATACTCCCACTAAAATATCCTGTTAAGTGGATTATCCCTCCGTACAGCAGAACCGGGTTTTAACACAAAATTCTATAACTTTAATATTATTCGTGTGATTCCCTTAAATGACCGTTCAGTAGATAGCTGGGGTCTGAGCGCACACTTCATAAATAACCGAACGCCGCACGAAACACACTTTTATATCACATTCTCCTAAAAGTACCGAATACCTATTGGGGAACAACTACCGAAAGACCGGGGTTCCTGAACGGCCTGGAAGTCCAGCGGTGTTCGCGCCGTCGAGTAGCCGATTTTAGTTTCAAGTGCTCGACGACCAAACACCGCTGGGCTAACAAAGGATCCAAGATGGCCGACCGCCGCGTGGTCGGTAGCCGAACGACGGCCACCCAGGAAAGCACTTAATTACCAATTGCTACAATGTTGCAATCGGTTAATGGGAGCCACACGACCATCTGTGTGTGGGCTCCCATTCGGTACTTTATTCGTTTCACGAACACGGTCTAAAGTTCCTGTTTGTGAAACTACCATATGAATGCGAGCGGCTTTCGGCAGTTAGCATACGAATACTCTCTATTGCAAACACACACGAATACATCCTTATATACAATAAAAGCAGACAACCTTCTGATGTTATACAGTAAGTCTTAAAGTGGCTAGGTTTGCCACAATCACTGTATATATAATATCACTGTATATATATAATTATTATAATATCACTGTATATATAATTATAATAATATCACTGTATATATATCACTGTATATATAATTATTATAATATCACTGTATATATAATATCACTGTATATATAATTATTATAATATCACTGTATATATGTTTATTATTATTATAATATCAGGGCTCTGTATTACTGCCTGTCTCTCTCTCCAGCTCTGTATTACTGTCTGTCTCTCTCTTCAGCTCTGTATTACTGTCTCTCTCTCCAGCTCTGTATTACTGTCTGTCTCTCTATCCAGCTCTGTATGACTGTCTGTCTCTCCAGCTCTGTATTACTGCCTGTCTCTCTCTCTCTCCAGCTCTGTATTACTGTCTGTCTCTCCAGCTCTGTATTACTGCCTGTCTCTGTCTCCATCTCTGTATTACTGTCTGTCTCTCTCTCCAGCTCTGTATTGCTGTCTCTCTAGCTCTGTATTGCTGTCTGTCTCTCTAGCTCTGTATTGCTGTCTGTCTCTCTAGCTCTGTATTACTGTCTCTCTCTACAGCTCTGTATTGCTGTCTCTCTCTACAGCTCTGTATTACTGCATGTCTCTGTCTCCAGCACTGTATTGCTGTCTGTCTCTCCAGCTCTGTATTGCTGTCTGTCTCTCTAGCTCTGTGTTGCTGTCTGTCTCTCCAGCTCTGTGTTGCTGTCTCTCTCTCTAGCTCTGTATTGCTGTCTGTCTCTCTAGCTCTGTGTTGCTGTCTGTCTCTAGCTCTGTGTTGCTGTCTGTCTCTCTAGCTCTGTATTG